GTGTGCTCTGCTGCAGGGAGGTGACTGGGAAGTTTAAATTGCAGTGCACACACAGTACTTACAGAACAGCAGCGTGTGGGTGCCCGAACTGGCAATCCCAGCTGAGCAAGGTGGTGCACAGACACAGAGCAGGGGACTGGCTCTGTTTTGAAGGCTAGAGAAAAGGAATATAAGTAAACTGCAAAACCACCACCTACTACACAGAGTTTCAGTATTTAGCACAACTCATTACAGCCAAGGGTCTGTTTTAAGTAGCAAGGCTGAGCTGCACCTTGAAGCACCGACAGTGGTAAAAGAGAGTGCACCCAAACCCACAGCCACAGAGAAAGTGCCCAGGCAGGTCCTGGCTCCTCAGCTCTTCCCTCTCCTGCAGTACTGAGCACGAGATGTGAGCAGTGCACATTCAGCACATGCCAGGACACATCCCACACGTCCAGGGACCAAAATAGACGTTCTGAGTTACACACCAGCTCAGCACCTCGCTGGGGGAGCACTCCGGAGACGGTGCCTGAGCTGCCGTGGTAAGCAAAGAAAGGAAAAATATTGAGATCATGAATTCTGTGCATCTGCACAGGCCACCCTCTTCCAGATCAGCCAGGGAACTGCACCACGGAGGCTGCACACTTGTGCTTCTATAAATTCGAGTGACATTTGCTGCCCTGCTAAGCTGAGGTAGCGCTGCTCTAAATGACACTGAAAGATTAAGAAGTTCACACACTGGAAACAGACTTACTGGGACATCCACTTAGCCATTGTCTTTTCTAATGAGATAGTGGCTTAAATCTTCTCAGTGGGCCTTAGAGATTCAGTCGTGGCAACACCTTTGGTCAGATAAAGAGAATGGATTAAGAAAAAAAAAAGGCAGCAATCAGAACTGAGTGGAATTGTCCCCCCTAACTCCTTCCCTGTTGTTAATCTCTGGTGTTATAAACATTTTTACAGGTTGTTGCTCCAGCACTACTGATTCAAAACACAAAGTCCCAAGCTGCGTTTATGAAATTTCTCAGGTTCCTAGTAAGATCTATCTGCACACCCTCTTAATTTTGAAGTACAGTTTGACATATCACTTCAAGCGTCATAAAATGAAGGTAAATTAAAATGAACATCAAATATCCTCTGCACTAATGGGCTCTGAAGTGCTGGTAATCCGAAAAGCTTCCTGAGCATAACAGAGAAGCCAGGAGAGCAGGGCAATGTCAAGGAATCCAGTCGTAGTCATTAGAGTGTAATGCAGAAGTTACAAGTAGTGAATTCATCTCACTTCTCAGGGATAGCAAGCCTGGATTTTCAAGCATTAAAAGTACCAGCAAAGCAGTCACCCGTGGCACACCCCTGTTAGAGCATCTAAGGCCACCAGCACCGCTGGAGTGAAACCTGCTCTAGGTGACCCTGCCTTGGTCTAGATGATCTCCAGAGGTCCTTTCCAACCCTAACAATTCTGTGATTCTGTGAAACTTCATAATCTGCAGTTGCTGTAGCTCCAGTGCTTGCTTTCAGGCAAAAACCAGCAAAGAACCTCACGCATTCAGTCCTCACCTTTTACCTGTCAGCTCCCCTCAGTTTTGCATTGGTTTAACTGGCAGCACGGCTAAGTTGTGGAAATCGATGAAAGAGAAGGGGGAAAAGGGAGAGAAGGCAGAAAAGGGGGTGTGCCCGTGAAGCCTTTAAACTTTTCCCCCCGACTTTTGGAGTTTATCCCAACCCGCCTTTCCCCCGCGCGGCCCCGCCCGCCGCGGCGGCGGCTCCTCCCCGGGGCCGGGGCGCCGTTTAAGGCGCTGCCCGAGGGGGGGCGGCCCCGGTCGGGGCCCCTCTCGCTGCAGTGCCCGGCCATGGCCCGCGACCGCGGCCCGCCCGTGGTGCGGCCGCCCGGCGCCGCCGCGCTGCCCGCGGAGCCCCGCGGCTGGGGCTGGCTGGGCGCGGGGCTCTGGCCCGCGGGGCTCCTGCCCGCGCTGCTCGTGGGGCTGCTGGCCGCCGTCCTCGCCTGGTTCTGGTACGGCGGCAGCGACGGCAGAGGCGAGGAGGGCGGAGAGGCGGCGGCGGCGGCCGGCGGAGAGGGGCCCCGGCGGGCGAGCGGAGAGCCGGCGGCCACAGGTAGCGCGGAGGGCAGGGGGGCGCGGGGGGCGCGGCGGCTCCTCCGCTTAACCAGCCCCGTCCTCCCCGAATGTCTCTTGCAGGGGACGCCAAGGCGAGCGCGGAGCCGGGGCGGCGGGAGGTCGCGGCTGCTGTGCCCGGCGCTCCGAAGGCAGGAAGGGATCTGGCGGCTGGTCCGAGGGAAGAGATCAACCACGTCCCGAGCGGGGGAGTTTCGAGTGAAGCTGTGGAGGTGGAGAGGCTGATCCCGAAGCGGGATGCCAGCGGCGCCAGGGAGCATCCAGATGATACGGCCGGCAGGCAGGTAGGGGAACTGCGAGCTCAGGTGGGACAGGCAAGTGACGGATGGTGCGTGATGAACTTGGCAGGAGCCTCTGAGGATGACTGTAAGGACAGAAGTGAGGAGCAGCCGGGTCAGCCAGCTGAGAGTAGGGACTTGGACCACGAAGAGTGGGAAGTTGTTTCTGAGCACCTGGTCGAGGGGGGGGCCGGCAAGGATGGCAGCATGGAAGACTCCGACAGCAGGGAATGGGAACAAGGAGACTGCTGCGATGGGGACTTGAAAGCCAAGAGGGTTGCAGCCGTGCCCCCCATGTTCCAGAACATCCACGTGGCTTTCCGTGTGCACTACATCACACACTCCGAGGCTCAGCTCATCGGTGTCACCGGGGACCACGAGTGTCTTGGCCAGTGGCACAGCTATGTTCCCCTCAAGTGTGACAAGGATGGCTTCTGGTCCGAGTCCATCAGTCTGCCCGCAGACACCAGACTGGAGTGGAAATTTATCTTGGTGGAGAACGGGAAGGTCAGACGCTGGGAAGAATGCGGTAACAGAACCCTAGTGACTGAACATGAAGATCAAATTGTTCATCAGTGGTGGGGACACCATTAACGGGATGTTGGAAGCTGCTGATCTAGTGGCAAACCTGCCTAGATGAGTCACCGAGCCCCTAAACCTTAGGGGGGGGGCTCCCCTTCTTCAGTAGGAGACCCTCTCAAGTGCAGAGCCCTGGAAATCCTGTATGGAACCCAGCTAAACCAACCCGTGAGCAGCAGATCTCTGCCATCCCCTTTAGGAAATCATCTGGCAACCCGAAAAATCAACTGCAAACACGTGCTGAAGAGATACGAGGTAGGCTTAGAAGGCATGAGCAGCATTCCAAGCACCTGCCTGTGCAGGTAAATCTGGACCCCGGACTTGAGTTTGTGTTGCTTTGAGTGGGGCTATGGGATGCACGGTGGTACCGACGGCTTGGGCTTGGGAAGCGTGCTGGGAATTGTGGTTACCAACACTGTAATAGCAACCTAAGTGTTTTCATTTATGTACTGTATTAAGTAAACAATAAACACTTTCGGATTGACAGCCTGTTACCAGCTGACCAGTGACCTGACTCATTTTGGTACCTTTGACCCAAGTGAGCTGCTTGACCCGAAATGTAAGTGGCTAGGGAACTGCTGAAAGGTGGCCAGCACTCCTGGGAATGACAAAAGCTGAACCCCAAAATAGTTCATCCACTACCTCCTACTGTCCAGCCATCCTGTCGGCTCGAATGAAAGGCTTGGCAGACAGCTCGTCTCCTGCTGAGGGGAGAGCGAAGGTCACATAGGACAGTCTGGGCTTAATGAATTACTTTGTCAGGGGCGGGAGCAGGCTTTAGAAAAATCCTGGAATAGAGTCAGGTGGCATATTCTGCCTACTGAAGAACAGTACCACAGTACTGTTAGCAAATACTTACTTAAACTTCTCTTTATTTTTTTAAGACTAGGCTTTTCAGCACAAACTCGAGTTTTCAGCACAAACATCGAGTTTTCCTTTCCTCAAGTAAAACAACCTCTATTGCATTCTCTGCACTTGGCTTTTCCAGCAATAATCTGAAGTTGACAATATCCCTGATACACAGAGGTACAGCTGAAACAGAAGCTGATCTTTGAAATCACTGAAGTCAAGTGTGCTGCTGCTGCCGTTTGAGCATATTTATACACACATCTGAGGCTTGTCTGAGGAGATTAACTATTCTATTAGATTAAGTTATTCACTAGAAAGCCACTTAACCTACACTGGAATAGATTCTCTAATGCAGTGATGAACATGTCAGAGATGAACTCTGAGATGTCTCTCAAATTGAGAGAAACTTATTTCTTTTAATTAAACACCCTGTGCTTTGATCCCACAGACAACTCACAGTCCTCAAGACTGTATCATCTTGCTGAAAGATCAAGTGAGGTTTCTACAAAGACCTGCACTGAACTTTTGCTACCACCTCTAGATTATTATGCCATTCACATCACTGCTTGCCCAGCAGGGCCTATGCTATGTAAATTAAATATTATTGGTGTGGCGAAGGAAAGAAGTCTGGATTTCAGTATTTCTGGAGGAGCTGATTAGTATTATCTCCAAGTTCACAGAGGTGTTTTCTCATTACTGAACAATATATTCACTCAAGCATCAAGGTATATTTAAACAAAGGTGCCTTGCTGCATAAAAATAATGGTGCTGGAACAGCTAATAGCTGTCTAATACAATGTCCTGGCTGTGAGACTAGTGCAGCTACATGTGAGAAACAACTAGTTGTTGTCATTCCTGTGTGGATCTAACAGCCTCAGGAGATCTCCAAGCAAATAATAAACTGTCTCACTCAGAGCTCATCAAAGCCTGCAACCACGGAGCCCTGACAACAAACTTGTGACAAATCAGGCAATTTGATTACTTTTAGGTGGAATGCAGTCTGCTCCTGCCTGTGAAGTAGTTTGGTGTGCAGATGCTGAATGCTGCAGCTGGGTGCTGTGCAGGCAGCCTGAGGGGACTGGGCATAAACCAGTCCAAAGTCTCCTGCAGAAACCTGCCTGGCAGCTTGTTTGCTTTGCAAAACCCATGCCCATCCCACATTCTCTCTGGCAGTTAAACTTACTGTTTGGAGTCCCTCCACAGATTAGCCTGGTATTGGGTTTTCTCTCTTAGGGGCTGGCTGTCATCTGGGGTGTCCTCCTATGCCATCCGCCTGCGTGACATGGAATAACAAAGTGCTGTTGGGGCTGCAGACTCCAGGATGTGCAGCTGCTCTGAGATTCTCCCGGCCTGCTGCCTCCCCAGGCCAATTGTTTGCCTGCTGCTGGTGGCAGGGAGGAAGCCCAGACCTGTTCCCAACTCTGCTGGGTTCCAGCAAAAGGATGTTAAGCTGCCTTTTTGCTTGGCAGATGTCCCTTCCTTTGCTCTGGCCCTCTGACCTCCCCACCTGCTCCCTGCCCTTGGCACAGGGCTGCAGCCTCTGAAACTCTTTTTAGCTTGGTTCCTTGAACCAAACTGAGACTTGTGACCTTTCCCAACCTGCTGGGGCTCTTATTCTCTACACCTGACCCTCTTCTCAGGAAAATTTGGATAGATTTGTCCAATATGTATGGCAAGTCCAGACTGTGATACACAAGCCATCTAAAATGATCCTTTCATTTTCATTGCAAATGATTTCTAGGAAAGGGGAGATGCCTTTATTAATATTTTGACTAAGCCTGCAACACTGTTACAAAAAGGATCAGAAACAGTGGAAAAATAGTTAGAAAACATAAAAAAAAATCGCCCAGATTAAAATACTGTCAACAATAACTGAGGACATCTTAGGAACAACTCAAACTAATTCCTTCTCCCCATACAAGATTCCAACTAAAACTTGATGAGTCCATTCTGCTTAGAGGTGTCATGGTATAGGATGAAATTCAAACTGAAAGAGGGAGAATTTAAGGTAGATATACAGTAGAAATCTTTCCCTGTGAGGGTGGTGAGGCCCTGGCACAGAGAAGATGTGGCTGCCCCATCTCTGGAAGTGTTCAAGGCCAGGTTTTTTTATTTACTTGCATGTATTTCTACTCCTCCGTACTTCTTGCTCACTTAAAAGTAAAAACTATAAGTAAGACTTAAAAAACTGGAAGAACTTTTATTATTTACCTTTAAAAAATATAATAAATTTTAAACACAAGGTACCTACATGAAAGGAATCACTAACATATACAGAATCTTCACTTTGAGAGCTTTTCCTCCTTTTCCTTGGATTTCTTTGTCTTCACCTCCTGAGTTCTGATCACTGGTGACGTGGCTGAAAATAGCAGCAAGAACAGATTAGCTGAACACCACCTGATGTTCAAAAGATCGAGGCCTGAGGTGCAGGCACCTGAAGCTTCCAAATATCCTCCCACACATTCTGCTGTACTTATCAAGCCCTTACAAAAGCAGCTTTAGTCTGCAATTCTGTATGTGAATATAGACAAAACCACTGAGGATATTAATGCATGGCAAGGAATAAAAATGAGAACACTCACCTTTGACTTTAATAGATAAATAAATAAATAAATAATAAATAACTTGACGAGTTTTACCTACATCAGGTCACTTGTATGTCCCTGACACATATGCACTCGATGATGTAGGGGAATGATAACTTCCCAAATCTACACAACAAGACTTAAAAGGGCAAAGGGGAAGCAACTGGAATATGCAATAATAAAAACTGCCCAGAGAAGAAGTGCCATCTCACTCTGGCATCCTGCCATCTCAGGAGCTCACAGAACACTATGTTTTTGGAGTCAAGGGGATCTTGCGTCATCAGCCTGTTAAAAATTTCCCTTAACTGGACATGACAGCCCACGAGGACACCCCTGAGCAGCTGCCACGTTTGACATGTCAAGGATCTTGAAGCTCATTAGAGTTAAGGGGTGCTGTGGAGTTAATCTGATTAATCTCCTAGAAGCAGGATAATGGAGAAGTGGGGACTGGTAGTAAAACCTGTGTGTGCTAGTAAAAGATGTGAGAGTGCTTTGGCAGGTACCAAAAAGACTTTTTGGAGAGCGTGGGTTTCTTCAACAAAATAGGAATATTTTTGGTAAATTCTGGCACCTTGGTTTTTTTATCTGTAACAATTCCACCAGGTCTTCCAGGCTTTGCATCTTGTTCTGTAGCCCCCTTGGTGTGTGCTCGCTATTTTCCATGGGCTGAGAAGCTAGGGAAAAAAATTATTCATTAATAACAATAATAATAATAATAACAACAACAAGGCCACTATCAATTATCTAAACATTCCATTTAAATCAGAGTTCGTAGAAAATAAAATTTATACCAGTATTTTCAGTCAGACCCAGAACTTTACTAAATGTGTTACAGGAACCACCACAACTATGCAGTTATTGATGTCAGGAATTCCTACAGTCTTATTTATTCCCGAATAAAGCAATTTACCAGGCCTTAAATTTTGTGCTGTGTGGAATTTATCCCCTCTTTGTCTAATACATTAATTAGCTGCTACACTTTGCTCACAATTCATTTATCACAGAATCAAACTCCTTGAAGAGAACTGGGAGAAGGAAAGGCACTGGCAGCCAAGCTCTTGGATCAGGAAACAGGACTGGATGTACCTATTTGGGGGGCTGTGGCTGCACCCCCTGGAGAGCCAGCATTCCTTGTGGATGGTCTGTGTCCTGGTGAGGCACTGGAGCCAAGGTCCTCAGGTAGAGTAGTTAACAGCAAGGGCACTGGACATTTTGCTCTGTCTCCCTCCTCCTGAGAGGCTTTCCTGGGGGAGGATGTGTAACAACCAGCTGCTGAGCAGATGGATGCAATTCCTAGGAGATATCCAAGCAAAGAGCAGTGAGCACACAGCCTGATGGGAATATTACAGCTGCTCACAACCCAAGACTCCCTGTCCTGACTTGGGTCTCATTACAAACTCCCCTTGCTCAACTACTTCTCAAGGCTTCCACGTAAAAAAACCCACTCCTTGAAGCTATTTTGGATGCCAGGAAAAATCCCTGGATGTTGCAGTTGGTTTTGCTAGGAGGCTGACAGTAACTACCCAAGAGATTTCCTTTAATACTCAGGTATATAAAAAGAGTACCCATAGTAGTTGCTCCTCACAATAAACAGAGGGATGCCAGCCTATCTCTGAAGCACAGTGGCTCAAATTTTAATAGAGAACAATAAAATATATCAGTGTCTGCAGGCAGTTTTCACAGAATGGGTAATCTAAGGGTAAAAAACCCAGAAGGTGGCTAAGATTTGTATCTTCAAACCCTGCTGCTCAAAGCCACATCCTTATATTTCTGTTTAGGTCACTTAAATCCACATCACCACAGTTGAAAAGGGTCTGACCACCCAGTACTTGGAAGGAAATCAACAGCTTCTGCAACAAGCTGATACCTCTCAAAAGCACATCCATATCCCAATACCTGAATGCAGAATTCAAGAGCCTAAATTTAGGCTCCAAGAATCTGACAATATTATGTATGCTAATTATGCAAGACTAACATGGGAAGTTATCCATTTTGGGTGTGCTGGTACCAGCCTCCCAGGAGATGCCTTGCAACGAGATGCAGATTTTGCAATTTTGCACAGTTAAGTGCAATAGAAACTTTGTAACATGTCCCAAGAAAACACACTGTATTCGAACTATATTTTTTGGTACTATTCTGTGAAGTTCCACTTTGCCATCAATATGACACAAATGCAGCCAGCGAGATCTTACCCAGGGATGTAAAGGGCAGGGAAACATCTGGGGACTGAAGATCTGCGGGGTGTGAGCAGGAAGGATCCCTGAAAGCAAAATGAAGGCAAAACTTGCATTCTGGAAGGATTATGCTAAGTTTTGGCCATGCTGGCCAGGCTCCAAGGGCGAGGATGTGGAGCTTTCACATGGAATCTCCAGGTCTTATACATGGAAATCAAAAGCAAACAAGGTAAGTAACTTTCAGAGCTCTTTCTTAGAGGGATGAAAGCAACACCACAGCTTTGTTTTGTAATTCCCAGGAAGCTTTTAGCATTATGAATAAAGCAACACAAACAAGCTCAGGACTGAGGCTGTGTTAAACAAGCCTTAGAAACCGAATCTCAAATGAGTACTGTAAGAAGCAGGTTACTCAGCTAAGTGAAAGCACTTCTCACTGTCCTAAAATATCCTTTTCCACCCTGCTTGCAATAGCAGCCTCTCCAGCTTAGATTTAGTCAAATCTAGTCAAAATCCATGAATTCTATTTTTCTTTGTGAAGTATCCTCACGTTCTGGATTAGAAACGTGCGTTGTATGTGCTGTATTGATTTTTCAACTTCATGTGTTTGGTAAAAAAAATAACTGCCTGCTTCAGCAATGAGAGAGGGGATATTTACGTAAGGCAGGACAAGAAGAAAGGAGTTCTAAACCAAAATAAAAGGTGAAACACCAAAAAGCAAGCACTAAAGGCAAATGGTGTAGTCACCTCCTATTTCCCTACCACCTGAAGCATCTGAGGAACCTGGCAAACAAAGAGAAGCTTTGGAAGTTTCCAGATTCTCTCAAGCTTATGTGTAAACCCAACTTTCTTGCAAAAAGACATCCTATGGTGCTCCTGAGGCACGTGAAGAGCCAGATCCCAGTTTTAGAGGGCACTGCAAGTACGCAGCACACAACAGAAGTAAAGCTCTTACTCTTACACTGCATTGCTCATGGTTGCTAAAGGTGGTTTTCTCCCACCATTGCCACTGAGATCCACAGAGGGAACGTCACTGTCTGAGCCTGTTAATTCTTGAACAATCCTCTTTAGATCCTGCAATGGTTCTTCCTTCAAAATGTCCAGCTTGGAAGGCACCTGAAATAAAACCATTCAGTTATAAAGTATTTACAAAGGCACTCTGATTGTCAGTTCTTAGCTCTACTCATCCAGAGGCACACGTTTTACTTTTGTTTAACCCCCTTTACTCTTGTTTTCTCCTTTTACCCTGAGACCCCAGGTATTGCTGTACAGGACACAGACACAGTGCTGAAGACAGAGAGAGGAGCAGATCAGGGTGTTTTCCAGGCACCCATTCCTGTAACAGCTGAGCTGTCTGCAGACAGAAACCCCTTTATTGTCACAGCCACCTCGGAGATGAAGTGCAAGATTATCCTCATTTTACTGATCAACACTTGAGGCAAAGGCCTGGCTCAAAGAACCCTTTCCTTCTGTAAAAACTGGATTTTTCAGACTACTCAGCACTTTGTAAGTTCAAAGCACTGCTCCCACTGACCTTTGCTCCACCTGGGGATGGAACTGGCTGCAAACATTTTGCTACCCTATTTTCATTGGGGGAAAAAAAAAAGTAATTTTCAATGGGAACACACTGGTTTCATCAGGGCTTTTGTGGAGAACAAACCCTCAGCTTCAAAAGGAGTCAAAGTGATACTGGGTCAGACCAAACCAACCATTCCCACATTCCAGCTAAGGAACCAGACTATCATCCATGTCTATCTCAAGGGTTGGAGCTGCTTCCTTTTGTACAATAACTAATGATGCAGGAACCAAGAAGATTAAAGCAGACTTTTAATTCAAGTTCTTCTGCAACCTGTTATGTCCTCACCGTGGTACTGCATCAAAAATCACTCCTTTTTCCCCTCTTTATCCTGAGAAGTATAAATTGATTAACTCAAAGAAAAGAGAGTAGGAGTGCCTGATGCTGCAGGGATTTTGCAGAAGCCACTATCCTTTGTTCCTTGATGTAAATGTTTGCCACCACATCAGAAAGTAAACCAGAAAATACTACTGAAAAATATCTGTACTAACTCGTAGTCTCCTGCAGATTCTGAGGTAAAAATTAAAGAAAACACCTGCTGAAGACACATCAGGTCCCTTCTGGAGATTTTTACAAAAATCTATATACAAAAACTCCAAAAGATTTTTTTTTTTTTTGCATAAGATGATGTTTTCTGTAACGAAAAATCAGAACAACACAAGAATTTAATTTAAATCTAAATGCAGATGTACAAAACCAAAAGGAAGGACAAGGATGTGGATAAAACTGGTCAAAATCAGTCAAGACCAGTGTGGAGAAAGATTTAAACATCAATCAGATGATTAAATTTATCAAGAACTATGTAGAAGTCTATTTTCACTGTCAAATGTAAGTGATTTACAGCAAGTACTAGCAAAGAAAAAGAGTGAAAACCAATGTAAATAGTTTATAAGTGTTATTGGTGATAGAGATAAAATAAACTCCTACCACAATCTACAGGGTTTTTTAACTGTCTGGTTGGTTTTTACACAAAAAAACCGACCTGAAAGGCCATGACATACAAGAAGCTACAGAAAATGATTTCATCTGTGGTGTTAAGAATTGGCTCTTGGACACTGCGACCCGATGCTCTCCCACTCAGAAATTCCATGATATTTTTACTCTTTGGAACATGCTGGTTTCCTGTGCAGGTTCCCATCCTGAGGCAGGTGCTCACCTGAGGGGCAGGGCTGGCCAGGGAAGGTGGCAGGACAGCGGGGTGCAGGTGGGACAGAGGCACAACATGCTGAAGCTTTCCTGAGGCAGAAGCTGATGAGTAGCCTGGGCCCTGCAGCTCCTGTGGAGAAACAACAGAGGTTCCCCACCTTGGTCATTCTTCCTCTGAAGCACTTTTTGTATTCATACTTTGAATGCAGCATCTTGTTTCTCCCTCAAAACTAGCAGCTGGGGGGGGGTCACTAAAATGAATGATAATTTCTTATAACAAAAGGACTGTTCTCCACGTACTGTTCATTCACAGCAACAGTCTCACTGCAGCCTGAATAGCCCACGGTTATAAATAAGGCAAAAGTAAATAATACCCTCTATTCATCTCAAAAATAAAGTCAGAGATTGGAACCAAAGCTATGTTTTCGTTGCCCTTATTGTAAATAGCACTTCAAAAACCTGAATTTGTGGACGTGACGCGTGCAGCAATGAGGAATTCCATGTAAAAAAAGGTTTCAGAGTGTGAACAGTTCAGAGCTGTTCACAATAAATAAGAGTTAAACCTGAAGTTCAGACCCAAAGCAAAAGCATTTAACATTAGGACCATGTTTCTCAGAACACACTCACTTTGACATCCAGAGTGTGCTGCAGCCTCCTGCTCCTGGCACTGGATTATGCCCTGACACTCTGCAAATTGCATGGATGCCTGGAAGAGAGCACAGAAGAGCCACAAATTAGTGGTGCTAACTTTCTGGGGGTTACATTCTTCCCCGCTCTCTCAACAAGCTGCACACACAGACCTTGTTATTAAAGGGACATAATCCTGTCAAGGACGGGCCCAGACCTACTGGACACCTCTGGGATTAGAAAATTCAGCAGTGCTAATGAGGCAAAACTATACTCAAGCTTCTAAAAGGGGTGGCTGAGAACTTGGTTCCTGTCTTTGTTAAGTTATATATACTTTTTCTTCCTTAAAAAGTTTACTGTGAAAAGAGGTGAGACTATCTATACACACAAGAAAGGTAAGTTTCCAGTGACAAGCACTTAAAGAAAGATATTTCACACTTGGGAGGAGGCATCATAATTATTTTCTTATTTTTTATTTTAAGCAATTCAAAAATGACACCTTATGTAGAAATGTACATCCTGAAAAGTTACCATCCTGAAAGGGCTCTTCTTTATGGAAAAAAATCAGAGATATCTCTTCAGGTAAGGATCTTCCAGCACATGTGAAAAGAACTTATTAAATATAACCTTTCTCTTCCCAGGTGGCAGTAGAGGAAAACATCCAGAAGTGTCCCTGAACTCAAAGTTACCTTGAATTACCTTATCAAGGGCTGTCTCCATCTTAGATAGTCTTTCTTTCAGCTGTTTGTCTTGTGCTCTCAGCATGTCCAGTTCCCCAGCAATCCCGATATTTTCTGCTCTAATACAGCTCAATTTTTCACTTAGTTTACAGTTTTCTTCTCTGAGGAAATGCTTATCCTGAATTTAAGATGGGGACAACAAAGCACGAGTCAAAAATTTATACTTTATACATATTTGTTTTCTGCACCTTTTTTTAAATCCTTTTATCTTTGAAAGATCTGAATTAACCCCTTGAGAAGCTCAATCATTGCATCTTGCAGAAAACTGAGGTTTTGCAACAAGAAGATAGGTCTTGTAAGGAATATAAGGAAAAGTGCAACTTGGTGAATCTTGGTGAAACAACATCTCAGATTTCAGATCCCTTTTGAAACTGGAATTTGAAGCTTCAGTATCCACAGGACCCAAAGCCAGTGAAGAAGTAAACTACAGCTGTTGGTAACTGAATGATTTCTTTGTCACAGAAAACAAGTAAAATTATTTTTGGTCCTTCTTGGGCCAGCTGTGCTTTTGGCCACGCATTTCTCCCAAGACAAATTGCCCTAAATCCAGTTAAATGCTTTTACAGGGAGCTCTTCTGACCTCAGCTGCGTTAGCCATTGCTTCTTCCAAGAATCTAATCTTGCTCTGCAGTGCATCTATCTGCCCTCTCTTGGCTGTGATCTGCTTCTGCATTCTCACTGCAACTTCCAGAGCTGTAAAACACAAGGTTAATTCTCCATGAACAACTGTGATTATGACTGTAAAACTTACAAAAGTTCTCTTGTTAACAAGACCAACGTGTGTGATTTTTGGGAAGTTCAACCCATAGCTACCATTGCCAGCAGATCCCTCCATAGTATTTAGAGCAGTCCTGGCCTCTTTCAGTTCAGCTTGGGCAGATTTCAGCTGCATTTTCAGTCTGTTTGTCCTATCTTGCATCTCCTCAATTTTATCCTGGTAATCCCTCTCCAGATCTTCAAATGCCTCTGGTGAGAGTCAGGAAAGACTGAAATTAGGAGTGACAAAAAAAAAATCATTCTTCTAGACTTAGATTACTGATCTGCTGCCAACTTGTGATAAAAGAAGTGCTTCTGGATATTTTCTGAGGGTATGGGAGTGTGCAGGGAGCAAAGCATGTGACCAGTGGCATCTGGCCAGCTGCAATGCAGATTTAACTGAGAATCTCCGTGAATTTTGGTGGTTGCTTTGGGTCCAGCCAAAAGGTGTATTAGTTGTGAAAATAGTCAAGTTGGAGCAGCCACTTTTTATAATGTTTTAGCACACGTACAACAAAACAAAGTTTCCCTGTAATTTGACCACAGAAGGTTAAAGGGATCCACTACTGCTCTTAAATAACAATCAGGAAACAGAGGTCAAGTTCCCATTCCGTGATTTACTAGATCTGGTTTTTTTCATCTCTGGAGCCAGGCAGTTTTAAGTATTTTTGCTCAGGGTACTGAGCTGGGCCATAAAGATTGTATTCCCACCCTCCTGTGCCAGAATCCCACGCCATGACACAGCTCCCTGAAGGAACCCGACCACCCCATGCTGGCAGGAAGTCTCCTGCTCTCCCAGCAGCCATATTTGGATTCAGGGAGCAAGCTGCTCTTTTATTTTTAACACCAGCCCAAATTAGCAGCCGTGGGAGCTGAGCTGGGGCTCCCTACCTGCAAGGCCAGCTAGGTTGCTCCTACCAGCCTGGAGTTCATCCGTGAGCTGATCTTTTTCCTGTTTCACATCTTTAAGTGCCTGGAGCCTCTCTGTGCATGTGTTAACCAGCTGAACCTTTTCCAGCTCCAGCTCGCTCAGTCTGGCCCCCACTTCATGTATTCTGGCTTCTTTCTCATCCTTTGCAACCTGCTTACATAAGAAACAACAGTATGTGTACTATGCATAATTATATAAAATAACCACAAAGATGCATAGACACCACTACTTTAAATCTCACTTTGGGGCAAGAAATTAAAACGGAGTAAAACAGAGAGATTACTTGTGTGAAAATTGCTAATGCAGGCAAAAAGGGGGCAACAGAATTGGATGTGATGGTTTTACAGCATGTTACACCTCACCAGTGTAGGATATGAAAATGATTTCCATCTTGTAGCAGTTCATTCCCAGTGCTCAACTCCCTCCTCATATTGATCATATTGTTCCTCTCTGCCCACTAACTTAGTGCTATTAAGATTCCAGATACCTTCTCCAAAACCACCGTGTCAGCCCATTAAGATAGAGATTTAAAAACAGAAAACCAATATTGTCTTAAAGAGACACAAATACAGCACCACTTGCACACCTTGAGCTCTTCTACTTTGAGTTTCCAGTCATTTATTTCTTGTCTAAACTGGGATTTCTCAACTTCCATTGCTCCAGCAGCCCGACCGTGCTGGCCCACGATCTGGGTCATGTTATCAATTGGCTTTTGGAAGATCTCACTGGTCCTTTCCTTCTCCAACGCCTGCAGTTTCAGTGTCTCACACTCCGACTGCCCCTTGTGTGAGCAACCCTCTTCATTCTTTAGATGCTGGAGCTCCTGCATCCTGCTGCCAAGCTGGGAATGCAGCTCCTTCAGTTCCTGGCTGGTAACCCCAAGGGCTCTCTCCCTGTCAGATCTGACACTGTTTTCCCAGCAGCCTCCAAATTCATCTGTTTGGCTGCAAGATCATCTCCAACTTTATGGAGTGTTTCCTTGGTTGCCTCCAGCTGGACACTCAAAGAGGAGATTCTTCCAACGCTTTCATTTTTTTCCTTAATTGCAGCCATCTGAAGAACAATAATACCAGGATCAACCAAGAGATTTGGTTATTTTTACCTTTAGAATGTCCTATAGTTCATCTTTACTCGTAATGCAAAGCAGGTTATCTAATTACAGCTCATTTTTGAGGGGCTGAAGTCTGGAGAAAAGGGGAATGAATGTCAAGTGAGCGTCTAGGAATCACCTTTGTCAGAAGGAATTCTGACATGGCACTGGGTTATGAACACAAACTTCATTATATTTTCATCAAATATCCCATGAAGTAAAGCACCACAGAGGCCCTTAATTTACTAACCACTCTTGCAGACATGCTCACTACCCAGAATACCACCTTCAACAGCACCAAACTTACTGGAAGTTTACGGAATGTCCTTTTGGAGGTTTATAGCCAAAATCACCAACCTGGCACTCCATTTGTCTGAGACACTCCATCCTCATTTCCTTCACTGCCTCTTCCATGCTCTGCAGCTGCTGGTTTTTGTTGTCCAGCTGTCTCCTGAGCTGATCCACAGTGATGCTGTTGTCTGTGTTCTGATCCCAAAATCGCTTGTTCTGTTCTTTTCCCAGGCTTAGTTCTATCTCTTTTTTATGAAACTTAATCTATGAGAAATCAAAGTCATCTCCCTCCTAAACACATTCAGGATTATTTTGGTCTCTTAACATTAGCAGCATTCAGTGGCCCAGTTACACACTGGAATAGGAACTGCTGCAGGGGTTTCCACTTGGCAGAAGGAGAAAGGTTGGCTAAACGAGTCTAACATCTCCTCCACTTTTCCTTTCAAATTTATATATTTCCTTTCAACTGCATATAGTGCTGCTGTAGTTATTTTCAAGCATGCAACACCTCAGTGCTGAAGTCTTTCATGTCATTTGTATCTATCCCCAAATCGGTATAAGCCACAAAAGGAAAGAAAATGATGCCATGTCAACACCAAATGCAAACCAGCAAAGCAGTAACTGTGAGGTTAAAGGGAAGGTTGCTCAGCATCTTTAATGTGATTTGCATAGGATTCTGTGATTTTTTTAATTTAGGACAAAGTTAATCTTAATTCTGGATGTCCTGCATTGCTAATGGAAAAGGCCTCTGGGCCTTTCACATCTAATTCAAATCTCTAGTTAAAAATAATCCTCAACTTTAATTATAAGGGGAAACGAGAGATGCAAACATGAACACCAGCAGTAAGGACAGGCTTTTATAAAGCAAGATTTCTTTCAGTACTATCACTTGTTTTTACCAACAACTGATGAATCTGGTCCCTCAGATTTCCAGATTCTTGGCCACATTGATCCTGTTCTGTGTGAGCTTCTGCTGGCTCGGAACGAGCAAGGTACAACTGATTCTCAAGGTCTCTGACCTAGGAAAAGACAAATATTCATTAAGAATTATCTTAATGTATTCTATTTTAAGCAGTACATTGGATTTATTCTAGTTTTCTGTTAGGTTCTACTTTAAACAAGTCCAAACATCTTTTTTTTTTGGCACAGCAGAGTTATTCCCTGAGTGTAATCAGAATTGTGTTGTCTTCTTTTAGTGATTAATGTCATTTCAGAGTTAGTTATGATTCTGGAGAGTAATTTGGCTTCCACCTTGATCCACAGCTCCTCAGAAATTCCTTACCTACACCATAAGCCCTTAATGGAATGGGCAAAGAAGCACTTTAAAAAAAGAAAAAAAAAAAAAAAGACCTTTTTCCACAGAGGGATATTCCTTCACTATGAGTGAAGCAGCAAGTGGAAAGTACGAGCAGCATAACCCTTCCCCCAAATTAAGGCTGCTCCTAACATTTTGTACACTATAATAAAAAAGCAGACTGAATGATCCCTCTCCACCAGGCTTCGGGTGCTCTTTGCAAGCTGCAGGCACTGTCAGCTTTACCAGCCAGTGCTGCCACCTCCTGCTCATGCTCACTTCTTAGCTGCTGGCTCCTCTTCCAAACAGATAATACTGGTTACTAATTTTCATCTTGGCAAACAGTAACTTCTTTCAGTACTGGGCAATGTAATAATTTTGATGTTCCGTTATTAAGTATCGACTGTTATTTTGAAGAGGCTACTGTATTAACTCCTGTGGATAGCAGGGCAAATTTGGACTTCTCAAACAAGGAAGGACAAAGCTCTAAGCGCTTTGTCGGCCAGAAAAAAAGCCAACTTAATTACCGAAATTATTATTTTTAATCTTTTATTATAACAGTGGAACTGCTGTTCCAACAAATTCTACACATCCAACTAAGTTACCAATCACACTTAGAAAAGTAAGGTGTAGAGATTCTTCCAAAAGAGTATTTTTGAGGCAATGAATAGACCAGGAAATTGTCAGCATGGAAGGAAAAAGCAGCAGGAAGCCACGAGCGAATAAATATCTGGATGGAGCAATTATTAGAACAAAAACATTGCTTGCTACCCCCTAGTCACCTCACCCCAAATACCATCATCATCAAGGAATTATCTGTGGAACTTGTGAAAAAACTTCTGTTTATGTTCTATGAATAAAAAACCAGAGAACGGGTACCTAATTTGATGTTGCTGAAGCAGAAGTTCTTTTTGGGTCTGTGAACCTTTTTTCAGTGACTGAAGTTCTTCCACCTGTCGTGGACAGATGACAGTGCAAACCCCTAAAGAAAAGGCAGTGTGAACAACAGCTTGTAAAGTGTCATTTGCTTCCTTTTTCTTTCACCCTGAGCTGTGGAAACGGGCACGACACGGGACAAGTGCCAGCAATAAGCCCAATTTCCAGTTGGGATCAGTGCTGGAGTACCAGCACCTGCCACCCAAAGTGCAAAGTGGCATTTGCACCTCTTTATGCCATAACCCTTTCCTTAGGCCAGGTTAGGAGGGAACTCGTGGAGTTCTCAAAAATATTTCCTAAAAACCAGAAAACTGAGGTTTGGGAGGAAAATCAGCACTTCCTTCACATACCAGGACAACCTTTTGTTTGAGGTATGACACCTCTGAGTCTAAATCTCTCAGGACATCAACAGCTGCTGTGCTCAGGCTGCAGAGGAGCAGGCTGGTAATATTCTTGTGCTCACAGAGTTTCCCGCCTCTGCTGTCTTTGTAGTCCATTAGGATGCCCTGTAATTCCAGAAGTACTTCCTTGTGGCCGTGGACCATCTTTTTCAGATGGTCAGTTTGGCTCTCAGCCTCCCTCAGCATGTCCTCCTGCAGCTGGTTGGCAGCTTCCAGCTCTCAAACAGCATTTTCCAGCTGTAATTTTTCATTCTCTTGGCTCTGCAATTCCTTTTGTATGAATTTGGAAACCAAAAAAAAAAAAAAATTAGAAAGCAGGATTCACATGGATTTTTATCCTAATAGGTATAGAACTTCTGTTGCTTAACTCCTGGTTTTTACAAGTAAATAATAACTTGTTTTCTAAACCAAGATGCTACAGTCTTATTCCTGAAGGGAAGTTTCTCCCTGTGTGCTTCTCAAAGCCCAGACACTCTCCATAATACAAATATGCCTTGGCCTTCATACCTGGTATCCAAAGGGCATCCCTTTCCAACTGCACTTCCATCAGTTTGCTCTGCAGGACTTAGATGGGTTTGCTGTTGCTCACATAGCTCAGTGGTCTAAAGGAGAAAAAAATCCCAACCAATTAAAATACTAAATATATAACAAAAAAAAAGAGGCTGCTCAAACAGGACCATTCTAAATTACATAACAGCCTGCAATATTTACAGGAAATTACTCCCAGAATTTGTTCTGAAATCTGTTTAATGCTTACCCACATTGGGCATATTGTCCCTTGGTAAAGATTCCTTGTGACACTAAGAATCCATCACTGATTCCACTGGGCCTCTGGTGGTTTCTTCATGGAGTTTTGGAGTCTCTCTTGTCTTTCCAGCACCTCCCTGCAGAACAGCACATGAAAACATCCCTGTCTTTATTACCACATCCTGAAAAACCTGGGTTTTCATTCTATAACATTACTGATAAAAACAGATTAGGAGATTCAGATGCAAAAATACCACTTTTTCCTGACCATTTTCCTGTGTATCTACCACTGCACACTGGTGTACTAAGCACAGTGGTGAGGTGACACTTCAGTCTGATTCATCAGTCTGAGTTGAATCAGTAAAACAAAGCTTTAGAGAAAAACACCATCCCTGTTCTCAGCTGGCCATTAATTTTCAAACTCATCAACGGCCCTTCTGTAAGGGAAACTTTCAAATATTAGATATACAACTGCATATAAAAATCACTGAGACCAAGCACTCTTCTGGGGGGGGGGAAATCACCTAGGCAGTAAAATCTCTGAATTTTCACAAGTATCGCTTGTTTCTCCCCCTTTTCAAGCCTTCTGCTTTGTTTTGTCGGGATGAACCCAGAAGCAGCTTTATGCAATGCCACCTTCCCAGGGTGTTTCCAGATAAAGAATTTTTTTTACAAGAAACCCTGAAGATGAGATTTCCATAAAAGTGGAAAAATCTCCATCTGCCTTGATTATATCTCCAAATGCTGTCTGTTATCTCAGTCTGCTTGACTAAAGCCAAAGGGGACCTTTTCCCCCTTTCACAAAAGTGCTTTCGGAGGTACAGCAAAAGAAAAGAAAAACTTAATTCCAGGGTGAAACCGAGGTGCTAAAAGTGTAGACTTGGACAGCTTGATTTTTGGGGAGCGTGATTGCTATTGACAGCCCCTGGAGGACAAGTCTGTGAACCTTTTACCTCGGGGGAAAAGGAGAAAAGAATAAAAAGAAAAAAAAAAGAAAAAAAAAAGAAAAAAAAAAGAAAAAAAAAGAGGAGAAGAGGAGGGAAAAGGGGGGGGGGCAGGAAAAGATACAAGAGATGGGAAAGAGACGAGAAAAAGATGACAAAGGGACAAGAAAGAAAACAAAAAGAAGAAAACAAGTAGGAAAAACAAACAAACAAAAACAACAACAACAAAAAAAAAAAAACCAAACAAAAAAAGAAATCTATTAGTCGGTGGCAGCTTTGAGACGAACGTATAGGGAGGCTGCCACGACCCCTCACCTGCGCCCACCCGCCTTCCCGCCGCGCGCCCCGAGGGACCCGCCGGGGCGCCCCTCAGTCCTCCATGACACCCCCACACCTGCGCCCCTGCGGGTTCGCACCTCCGAGCAGGGCGCTGCTGCCGACACGGCTCGCAGAGAGGAGGAGAACCGCCTCGCCGCTCCTCCCGCCTCCTTCTCCCCCGGGAAGGGGCCATCCCGGGCCGGCCACCCGCTCCTGCGCCGAGCTCCGGCTTCATCCCAGCGTGGCACGGGGAAGCGGTGGCGCCGAGCCCCTCAGCCCCCAAAATGGCCGCCCCCGCTCCCCTCATGCGGTGGGCACCATGTTGTGGTTTGGGATGCCATGTGTTTTAATGATGCCCTTTGAGATGGGAGATAAAAATCCCCTCACGCGGGGGCAGGGAAAAGTCTGGGTCATTTTCCTCGTGATATTTGGCCGGCAAAGTGGCACATTTTGTGGGGGTGACCGTGAGCTGACTGAAGGCAGATATTGGGGTGAGGAGGCTTCCTACCCACACAGAAAAGGTCAGAGGGCAAAAGCAAAAGATTCAAAAGCATCTTCTCCAAAATCCAGTTCAGGAATAAAAACTGAAATATTTTTGTTTTTAAACCAATCTCTTCAGAGATCAAATGTTTTTGGGTTCCCAAAAGTGATCGTCTGGCTGGTATTTTCAGGGTAAGGGAGCGGGTGCAGAGTCAAGAGGCAATTGCTTCACTTCAGCAAAGGAAATTACGTGTCTGACTGTCCCATTTTGGATCTTGATTTCAGGAATGAACGCACAGGAGGCTGTCCCTCTTTTCAGGTTATTCTAAAGAATAGGCAACAGCTTCTCCCAGACACGAGTTTTCCGGAGCAGGTGTATGAACCGGGCCCACAACAAAATCCTCAGAGCTGGAGAGCTTATGTCTGAGGCAGACAAGTATGTTTATATATTTAATATATAAATATCAGTTAAATAACTGATTAGAAGAAAAACACATAACCGTTCCTCAAGGATAACACGCCAATTTAATTTACAAGAGAGGGAATCCATTCTCCTGGTGCTAAAAGACACACCAAAGGAGAAGAGTGGTTTTACACGGCCTACTTCAGAGTGAGCAAAGAAAAGCAAGAATTAACCAGCTAAAAACAGACCTCAGGTCTCCATTCTTGCTGCACTGCTATCCCGAGTGGAAAACAGCTCGAGGAAAGGGCTTTTTAATGCACCGCCCTCCTATCCAAAGAGGAAAGAGGCAAATGAGTTTATAGGTAAATTCGCTCTACAATATCCAAGAGTCTCAGGTGTAAACAAAGCATGAAAACTCACCTGCGAGGGGGGCGGCCCCTACCTCTGGCAGGCAATGCTGGAGGTTTGTTTCTCCTGTATTTTGGGTGGTGCACTGAACTTTTGCTCCTGGCCGTAGGGCTGGGAAAGGGAGGGGGACACTGATCACTCCGCATTCGCTCCTACTTTTGCCGTGCTGTGAGCTGGGAATCCAACTTCCCAAGCCCCGCTGGGTACCACCTGCTCCGTACCCCAACCCCTCTGCCCGACTGCGTACCCTCGGGAACAGACTCCTCCCTCAGGAGCCGATCATGTGCTTGAGGGAGAGCCGATAAACGCCGCGTTCAGGGTTTGATTTATCCCCGAAGTGTCATCCAAAGTCTGGCTTCAGCGGGAAACTCGATACCTTTTCCCCATCAGGGCCCTGGCAAGGTGCTTTCTGCGGAACACCACCTGTCCTGGCTGCAGGTGACTTTTTTTTGTCCCATATTTCCTGGGAGTCCGGTCTGCAGCACCCCAGTCTCTTTGCTGCTTCCCCCTGAAACAGCAGTTAGAACCTGGGGATAGAGTAACTCTCTTAGGATCGAATTCCTGAATAACTTTCCTCCTGTTTGGGAGTACTTCTGAGAAGAAAAATCTGAAATCACCACAGGTTTGCCAGCAAGATGCAAATATAGACTTCTTGTGTTTAAACTAATCCACTCTCCCCAGAGAGAGGACTATGAGGTGTGCAGAGGGGATAGAGCTTCAGAGGGAGGGATTGGATTAATTTATGCCAGCAGAGATTCTACTGAAATACCCGGCCCATGCCCACCAGACATTTCAGAGTTGGTTAAAAGCTTTAATAGTGGCTTGAACTGTTTAGTAATCATCCTGTTTGGGGTGGGAACACTGTAGGATTGTGGTGTTGTACTGTGATGACTCTTGTTTTGATTCCTGGTTCCTGATTCAAACCCTATTTTCAGCAGGGTGACGGCATCAGATGCAGAGAGGAAACCAGCTGTGAGTTCAGATGCCCCGAGTTCACCTCCTTTGGTTGTGACAGCGCCTGTGCTCTTCCTAGAGGGACGGATCTATTCCTCTCCTTGGCTTGTTGCTTTTCAGTTTGCTTTGAGGAACTGAGGCACCCAGAGCTGTTCTGTGCTGGAGGCAATATTACATGGAGAGACTCTTTTATGTTCTCCAAAGAAAATTCGTCCTTTTTAGACTTCAAAGGCAAGTGCTTTTTCCAACACAGAAATGGATGTGGATTCACTGATTTTGCAGCTTACTTCTGTTTCTCAGCTTTGTTCTTTCACTCTCAGATCTCTATCTCTCTCTTTCCTTTTCTCTGTCTGATTTTTCATATTTTTATCAGAAAAATAAGCTTATTCTGTGGCCTGAATTTCTTCTTTTAGATGCCAGACTGACATTCTCCAGAGCTGAGGGAATGGATGTCTTAGAGTCAGCTCGAGCTGATCGGAGGTAAGTATAGGAAAGCCTTATTTTCTATTAATTAATTTCTAATTTTTTTAATATAATAAACCTTCAGGAGAATTGTTATCCCAAGAGGAAATGATTCACTTCTGTAGGGATCCTGAGCTGATCCAGGAGAGTTGTATCTTCTGACACTTCTGTTCTGTTCCGTCCTCCTGCAGGTTTAGGTGAATGGCTTCAGGACTCCAGGGCAGAGGAAGAAGCTGGGCCCACTGGTGCCTGAAGAATGTCTATTATTTAAAATTCCTGACTCTCCTCAGCTTACACAGAGCCCTGCCTAGAAGAAAAAGTGAAGTTCTTCTGTGAGAAAACCAGTGAGCAAGGAAAAAGAAGCACTTTTTTCCTTTGTCAACCTTTTTATGCTGCCTGTATGACCATGGGCCAGTCGCCCCTTGGCTGTGTTTGTGAAAGGTAAGAGGACCCACATTATTTTATAAGAA